TTTCATCGCTATTTGTAAAGCAGGTCTTCCTTTCTGAAGTTTTGAAATGATATTTAACCTTCATTACATGCTGAATCTTATATCCTCATAAGGTTTTATGGCAGAACGTTGTATTCTATTTCAGTAGTCCTTTGTTTTCAAACTCTTTTTCTAGAAGAAGAGAGAGAGAGAGAGAAATAAATGAACTATTGACAGCATGGGGTTCATCCAGAGACATTCTAAATTGGTTTAAATCTTGATTACCAGTATTGTGATCTCAGGCAATTTAATCAACTTTTTTTCTGCCTTAATATTCTTCTCTATATAATGAAGATAATAAATAATACCTACCTAATAGGATTTATTAAGAGAATAATATGAGTTAATATGTATATAAAACACTTAGAACAATGTTGATGCATATAGTAAGTATTATGAGGTATTTGCTATATTATTTTTTTGAGGTCCTATACTATTATTTAGTAATAGTACATGCTTCTCATTCTACCTCCTTCGGTTCTGCACTATTTCTTCTCACTTTCTGTAGCCTAAGGTCAGATCCTTGGCTCTCTGTCCTTCATTTGGAGAGTCTCTTCTTTGAAAACAGACTCCACTCCCAAGGCTTTAGATACCATTTTGTGCAGATGATGAAGACTAAAACTCTAGCTGTGGCCTCTCTCGAACTCTAGCTTCTAACTCCAATAGCTTTTTGTGTAGTTTCAACAGAATGTCCTACCATGATCTCAATCTGAGTTGGTTGTCTTCCTCTTTGACGTTGGCCAATGTCATAATTTCTTCGTCATTCAGGCTTGCAATTTCATCTATGTCTCCTTCCTTCCCAATATAATCGGTTATCAGATCTTCTTGATTCATTTTAATAATGATTCTCTTATTTATCTTTTCTATTGTTCCCATCGTCGTTCAAAATATTAGCATAACTCAACATCTATTCATCTTGGCATCTGATGTTGACTAATCTTAAAGTGGGATTTGGAACATAATCATTTGTCAGTTTGAAAGTAATTAGTTTCCTATTGCCTGTAGGAGTAAACCTTAAACAGTAGAATGTAAACTCCATGAAGGGAAGAATTTTCATGTATTTTGTTCATAGATGTAAATCAGTACTTGGAAGAGTTCTTGGCATGTAGTAGGTTAACACAATAAGTGTTTGTTGAACTGAGTAAACCCTTATCCTGGCATTCAGGGACTTCCATAGTTTGCCCTCAACCTCTTTTCCAACACACAAACCTCTAATGCAATGTAATGAATTTGCTCCTTTCCCCTGGAATATAATTCAGATATCCTCTTCTTGTTCTGTTCACTGTCTCCTACCTTCTATTTCCAAACATACTATCTTTCTTTCTCCTCTCCACCTATGTAAATCCTGTTCACTTTTCATGGTCTAGAAAAGTCCCAAGGTCTCTGGTTAATCTGTCTTGATCAATTTGACCTATCCTAATCTCCATCATCGTATAAAATCTATAGCATTTAAACCTTACATTATTTATCTTTTGCTGGGCAAATGCCTCCTTTCCCAAAATAAATGTATTTCATCTGGGGGTATGTGTGCCTTTTGGTATCTTCTACATAAAGGCTCCATTAACTCTAACTAGGAACTATTATATTCTTATACTCAAAGAACCTGAGATACATTTTAATAATAATTCCATGTCATACAACATTCCATTATTCAGACTCAATATTGTCAATAGAAAAAAAATATTTTTAAAACTTAAGTAATGGGGAATTAGAGACAGAGATTAGGTGATTTACTTAAGATCTGCCAAATTCTCATCTATTGTTCTTTCCATCAAGCCAAATTAATTATCCTTCTTATTTGATGAGTAGTCAAAAGCAGAAAAAACAGAGTTTAAGGCCATTTAAAAAAGACTGTCTTCCCTCAACCATATACTTCTAGGAGGATTTGTGAAAGCTGTGGCTATAAATTACAAAAACTGGGGGAAGACTTTACAGTGGCAAAGCTAGGGATGTGGGCACATTAACTAAGTGATCAAAGTTAATATCACTAGCAATAAGACATATCAACATCAGGTATACCCAGGATGATGCCCTGAGAAGGGCACATCACTTCAGTGTGATTCATGCCCCAAATACATAACCTGAGTGTAATCATGAGACTACATCACACAAATCCAAATTGAGGAACCTTCTATAAAGTGACCGCCAGTTCTCTACAAAAGTGTCATGAAAGACAAAAGAAGACAGAACTGCCACAGATGGAAGGAGACTAAGGTGGCATAACTAATTAATAACTATGTTAGTTAACTAAACACAGTATAGGATCCTGGGTAAGATCCTGGACCAGACAAAGGATATTAATGAAAAAACTGACAAAATTTGAGTAAGATTTATAGACTAGTTACTTGTATTGGTGTTAATTGCTCAGGTTTGATCATTTTAATTTGGTTATGTAAGATGCTAACATTAGAGGAATTTGGGGAAGGGTATACAGGAACTCTGTACTATTTTTGCAACTTTTCTATAAATCTAAAATCATTTCAAAATAAAAATTGAGGTAGGGGAAGATGAATTAAATTCTGTGTTCTTGGAGTAAAAGAAATTACCAAGCTTGAGAGTCACATCATCATTTTCATTCATCAATATGGTCACTTTAATCTTTATAATACTGTACGTAATGTGGGATCCCTTTCAGCATGTGGAAGTGTCATAGCTGTGGATGGCACACAGAACAGACAAGAAAAACTTAGGGAAGCAATACTCAGTGACCTACAGCAGTCATTCACTTAACAGACATGTCAGGTAGTATTTTAGGTGCTAAAAATGCAACAATGAGCAAGATAGTAAATCTCTGGCCTCTTGGAGTTTTCAGTCTAATTAATAAGGAGGACCCAATGAGAACTTTAGTTTTGGGGTTTTTGCTTTCAAAAAAATCAGAGGGTGGATTTAGTATGATAAGGCTGTGGGAGGATGGGGACTTGTGTCAAAAAAAATAAATTTGGTATAAAAATTGGAGAAGATATTGAAGTTGGTAAGGCTGTGGCGTGTTAGCAGGCTCTTGATGCATAACCGCGGACCATTAATCCACGCCTGTAAACGGGAGAAGGGCAGGAGAAAGCAAAAAGGAGGATTACAGGAGAGAAAAATCGGTAGAAAATAGAAAGGGGGACTGACAGAAGAAAGAGTGAAGGGAGGAAAGGTAGACATGAGCGCCGTCACAGTCAGCAAATAATACGACTTCTTAGGTCACAAGCATAATTGCAAAGAAAGGGCGGAGGGGAAGGAAGGACCCTGCTAAGTACGATTTCCGAAGGTGTGGGTGACGAGGGTAGAGAAGAACACTGGCGATGGGACGTACGCAGGAGGAAAACATTAAATTGGGGACTGCTGTGAAGGGGAACGTTACACGGACACTGTGAGGAAGGAAGGATACCAGGCACCTCCAAGCGGGAGGACACAGCGTCCGGGCGGTGCCGGGGCGGCGGCGTGCGCGCCCAGGGTGCGGCGGTGCAGCCCGACCTGGCGGGGCTGGCGGACAGGGGCGCCGGGCCCGGTGCCGGGCGGGGGAAGGTTGCGGGGCGGAGGGGGAGGTGTGCGCTGTGTTTGGTGATGTCACTGCAAGTCAGTGAGCGGTGAAATTTAACACCGGCCGGATTTGCTTGGCTCCTCTTCTTCCAGGCGGAG